ATCCCCTCATCATGTGGGACTGGGTCACATGGTGTTGCCCTCTCCCCTCCTTTCTACCCCTGGGAGCCTTGCTTGGAAGTTAGTGCAAGTTCGGAAGGACAGTACTGGTTATGGATCCATAGGGTGCTTGCAGCACTGAGCCAGCTAGTGATTGTCAAATTTCCATCTGGCAGGGAGTCTAAATTTGGTTTCGGTGTGGTAGCTGGTTCGTGGCCAGCGAGATCACCCGTGGTTGCGCACTGTCAGGGTTGTGCACAGCGGCGACTCGCACCCGTTTGGGTTAAACTTGTGCTGTGTATGTATATTATGTATTCGCTTTTGACTCAGCCTGTGGCCAGGCGACTTGCAACACTTGGAGTTAAACTTGTGCCTGTAATATATATTTTGTATTTGCTTTGATTCAGCCTGGCCAGGGTAGAAACGCAGTAGTTGAATTTATTAAATTTTGTTATATGTTTTAGTTGATGCCCATCATTGTAACTAGACTTGCCCCACTGCTAGCTTGGATCCATTACTCTAACATAGGGAGCATGTGAGCACAGCATGAGAGCCGTATGACAGAACACCATTTCCCCCTCCCCCAATTGAGGAAGGGTAGACGAAGCCAAAAGGTCCCAGAGAGTGACGGTGCTGTGGTAGCAGAGCGTAGACGACACATCTCTATTACATCATATATATCATGACAAAATCATTTAAGTCAACTAAAAAATTAAAATAAGTGAAGTTTCTTCTATCACTTAATTCTAAAATAAAATTATATAACATACATAATCTGTGAGTTTGGTTCTGTAGTTTTCTCTGTAAATATAATGTACATATCATACATACAGGTATACACACTTCACTTTCCTTGTTGAAGGAAATTGCTGAACAGTTTTGACGCTAAAGATTTTAGATCATTTAAATTATCTTCAGTATCATTTCCTTTACTCTTCTCCTGTTTCCCTTCAGCATCTTTTACTTTGGTCCTTTCTTCTTTATGCTTTTCCTCTTTTTCTATAATTTTTTTTAGAATTCCTGAACTGCTTTCTATTTCTCCTTCTTTATTTTCTTTGTGATCTTTTGCATTTTTTATTTTCCTTTTGTCTTTGTGCTCTCTTCTTTTGTTATCTTTAATCTTACTTTTCTTTTCTTTATGTCTTTTCTTTGTTTTATGTTTTTTCTTAACATCTGATAATTCCTCACTGTGCAAATCATGTTTCTTCAGTTTTCTCTTTTTTGCTTTTGGGCTTAAGTCTTTTATATCAGACTGAGATTTCTGCTGACTACTCCCAGGAAATACAGAACTGCCTGATGTAATGAAATTCTCCTCCACCTTTGCACTGGTCTTATACAGTCCTGAAACTGCCAGTAGGTCTGGAATCTCTCCAACCAACTTCTCTTCCTGTTCATTTTTATTCTTATGGATTTTGTTAACTTTTTGTGCATGATCAAGAAAGTGCATGATCACCTCATCTCCATTACACTCATTTGCATGTTCAGGATCTTTTGCCACTTCAGCAATAGTTTTCTTATTCTCATCTGTATCTCTGTGTGACTTATGTTTCTTCTTTTTCTTCTTCTTCTTGCGTGAAGAGTCCAAATCTTTGTGTGTTTCATTCAAGTAAGTCTCTTTCAGATCTTGCAGAATAGCGCTATACTCCACATCTTCAGAAGACAAGCGAGTGAAATGTAACTCCTCACTTTCTGGAGTCTCACTGTGGACTGTTTTAGAACCTTCCAGTTTCTTCATTTTCTTATTTTTCTCCGCTGCTGCTTCATTATCATCCTCCAAGTGCCTTTTCCTTTTCCTAGCCTGTGGCCCTACTACCGGTTCCTTGTTCACCTGTTCCAAGCTGTCGACCATCAGATCACATTTTACAACTTCTGATGACCGGTTAGGCTCCTTATGCTTCCTTTTCTTCTTCTTCTTCCTTGGTTCAGATATACTGTCCACTTCATCTTCCACCAGTGGCGTTCCACTTGCAGGACTGTAACAAGTTGTAAGAATTCAGAACAGCTACAACAGCAATTGGGCTTGTATCAGCAAAAATGGGATTTGTACGTATTTTCATTCACTAAGTCATTTAATATAAGTATCAGTTAACATATTCTTTACTGCATACATAAAGACTTAAGGCATGGAAATGTATGTTTCCTCTCCAAAAGTTGATATCTTCAAGGAACTTATCAAAAATACGAGTAATATAACAGTCCCATGATTATCTGCTCTGCTTTTAGAATTAACAATATCTTTTTGAAATTCAAAGAGTTTATTACATATCCAGTGAGCAGCTCATCTTCAATAGTGTTTGAATGTTTCTTACCTTCATCAACATTTTACCAAAAAGTGACCAGATTATGAAGCTCACCACTCATACACCAGATTAAGACCGTGTGGAGCTTATCTACTTCTGCATTCATCTTTGTAGCACAGCGTGGTCTACATGGGCTTTTTAAATAAGTTGGCTCAAGTTGAAACACTTCTGACTTGTATTTAGGGGCACAGACTATTCTGACTGGAATTCCTTTTAGTCTTCTTCAGTCCCTCCAGGCAAATGTTTGGGATACTACTTCAAAACAGTCCATGACCACTTCCTCAAACATCCTTTGCAATTCATTACCATCCTACCATTTTGAAGCTACACAGTATCATTAACTAAACACAAACGAAAAGATTTGTAGAAAACATTCCACAGAAGATTAGAAGCTTAAACAATACTCCATTTGTCTGGTTATATATAGTACTGATTTGTATATGAACACGGATTAAGAAACTGAACTAAGACAGTTGCAGCTCCTACAATAATGAGAGAATTCTGGATTGGATCTTAATAACGTTTAAGTTTATTATAATTTGGAAAGGAAGTCAGTATTATTCAGACCAAAGTATATATACTGCACTGTTACTCAAAACATGTGGGATCTGAGGCTTTAATGGTGGCTAATGTTGACAAAATCTTCTTGGCCTATCAGACATGACAGACTGGTAAAAATGACTGGTGTTTCAGGGACTACCTCTGCCCCTGGTATATATTTCCACAATTTAAATTATGTATTTTAGGCTAATATTTTTAATAATGATATTACTCATTCTCTAGTTCTTAGAGTGTCACTTGATAGTATGGGAGCAGTCCCCATCATACTGTGACGTGTTAAGCTATGGATGACGCCCCCCCCCCCCCCCCCCCCCCCCCCCGCCCCCCCCCGAGCCCCGGCAGCGCCGGGCCGCGCAGCTCGTGGA